AAAGCCGACTCTCTCTCTCTCTCTCTCTCTCTCTCTCTCTCTCTCTCTCTCTGTCTTTGTCTGGCCGCGTCGTTCGAATCTGCAATACGAGAATAAATCCCGTGCTGTCGGGAAGATTCATTCCCGTTCACTAATTCGAATCTCTCTTTCTCTCTCTCTCCTCCCCCCGCCCCCCGCGTGAAGTTTTTTTTTTTTTTTTTGGGGGGGGGGGGGTAGAAGAAAAAATCTTTTTTTTTCTATTTTTTCTATTTTTTTTTATTGGGTGCGAAATTGCACCGACCGGGCATTGGAGCTACGGACCCCCGAAAGTCGCGGCGCGTTAACGACCGCGAGTTACTGGTGGTTTAAATAAGATACAAGACTAATGTTTTTTGTGATCAGGAGAAGTAACAAATGAAAACTTTGGATAAATGAACCCTTGTTTTGAATTGGCTGAATGTGATGTGGATATGACATGCTTGTTGACAATACTTTGTCTTTTTGCTCGAGCTCTGTTTGTCTTTTGCATTATAGGGTAGTCTGTTAGTGCTCGCATTATGCTTGAGCGATAGGCAGGTAAATGTCTGCTTTTCTTGTTTTCGCATTTGTCCCTTCTTGTATGATTGTTTTTGGTAGGACTTTGGCTAGCCTCTGAGTTAGTAGAAATTCTGGGAGCCTCTTTTTCTTAAGGGAGATGTCAAAATTTCTGCTAAATACTCAAGTTGGCCAAGAGTCAACGATGTCAGATAGGGTAGGATATAGTTTAGTATTTGGGGTCTGTAGGAATTCTGGAAGCCTTCCTTTCTAAAGGAAGTGCTGCCGACATTTCTACTAAAACCAAAGAGTTAGTTATTCTCAAATATTTTTCTAAGTCTCGAGTTTTTTTCTTTTTAGATTCGGTATAGTAAATATTCTTCGAGCACGCCTCCCTGAAGGAAGTGCTGCCGAAATTTTCGGGATTTTCACATCGTTACCAGACGCTACTGCTAAGTAGCTTAAAGTGCGATACGGAGTTGAACTCCGTTAACTCGACAGGCGATGCCTGCCTTGATCTTTGTGACGTAGGTCATTGCTACCTGCGAGTGTTCTTCGAAGTCTTGAGCTTCATTAACTTCTGCTATCGAATTGATAGCAAGTCGGTTTGCGACTCAACTCCTACCCACCATGATACTCGCGCCCAGATGTTTGTGACCCTATAGGCGAAAGGTATTTTCCGTACGAAAGAAAACCTATCCTTGGAATTTCTCTTGAATGACCATGCAAAAGTTGAGGGAATCAGGATGGGCGGGGTATGCCTTTGCTAAGTGGGGGTCGGAAAGGGGCGTGTGGGACATGAACCAGAGAGAAAAAAGGTTGACCACGTTTTGTGGCATCTACATGTAAATTTTTATTGGACTTTATGTGTGTGCAAGTATGTATGGGAACAAGGACTTGCTCTTGAATTCAGGGTGATATGGATGAATGAATGCAGGGTGTGAGTGACAAGATTCAACTATGGCTGTGAGAATGACTCTCCCTGATTTCCTTCGGGACTCATCATTTTCCTTTTCTTTTACTATTGTCGCACGCATCTAGCGAACAGGCAGGAATAGCCGCGCGCAAAGTTTAGCACTCGACCTTAGATTGGACTGAAACTTAGTTTGGGTATGGTGAATTGCTCGCCAACTCGTGACTATTCTTATTTTCTTTCCTCAGGGAAGGGACGAGCGAATCCCGTCTCAAAGGGGTTTTGCTTTTGAGATTATTAGTCGGATATTGGTCCTGAGCCTGGAATTCAAGGTCCTTGTCCAGGACACCCCAGGCTCTAGTCCAACACAAAAGGCTTCCCCCCTTGAGCCGAGCCTACGCCTCTTGCTTATCGTCACCCACTGCCTAAAAGACAGGGGCGCCACAAGGGCCGCACAACTTATCCTTCAGCCGTGCAATATCGTGATGAAGGAGGAACCCTTCACGATATTTCTCTTTCGACACTTGTCGTATACAACCCCGAAACCCATGAGAGTCTGTGCCAATGTGGGTAACGCATGAAGCGTCGCCATGACATCAGATCAAGTGCGTACACATGACTGGGTGTTATGTTTCCCTTAGCGCTTGCATTCTTTTTATGCAACTCTGCGCGGGCTTTGCGCAGACACATTGGACTTCTGAGTTATCGGTCAGGGCGAATGAAAAAGGGACTAGGCTTATTTGTTTGTTTAAGTTGGTTTTCTGCGTATCGCATGGTTGAGTTAGGATGTCCTAGTCGACCGACTTTGAATCGTACGTGGGAGATCATCGCCCCAGCGTGACGGTTCGCGTACGGGTCCAAGCTAGGCGTGGACCGCGCATACCCCCTATGCTACCACATAGGGGAAGCGCCCTCGGCTGGGCCACCTCTGCAATTGCAAGTAAAAGCTTTCACGTGTGGTTCAGTAGCTCGGCGCGGATACGCCTGCAAGGGATGGTGACAGCTACTGCGGGTGCAGGTAAGTTGTACCTCGCGAGACCCTGTCCTGTTGTAGGGACTCGATGGAGGCGCACTCAGCCGGAGTGGCTCAGCCACTTCCCTTTTCATGAAGCAACATGCGAATTCTGCCAATCCTGCGTGACGCTGCCGGGAAGGTCCCCCCATCGGGGACCGTGCGCGCGACACCCGACCGGGGGTCATGCCCGGCCGGGCACAAGTTGGGTGCCCGCATATCATATAGAGGAATTGAAGCGGCGCGTCGTGCCATCACCACGAAATTTCGGAGAAATGGTAAAATATGGGTGAGAGTTTTTTCAGATGTTCCTATTACCAGCAAACCTACAGAAGTAAGGATGGGAAAAGGAAAAGGAAACCCCACAGGTTGGATTGCTCGTGTTTCGCAAGGACAATTTTTTTTTGAAATGGATGGTTGGGGGGCGGAAAAACAGCCTACCTATTAGCAAAATTCACTGATCCTCATCTGAATGCTGACCGTCAGCATTTGTATTTGCATTCCTTTTGCGTCTGATTCACTTCCCTTGAACAGAGCAGTGCAAATTAGAATGAATATAGTTAAGAAAATACATCCCCCCTCCCATCCCCCCCCCCCCCCCCCTCCCCCCCCCCCCCCCAAAAAAAAAAGAAAAAGTACAGCGCAAAGCCACAAAAAAGAAGAAGTAACGCTGATAGAACCAACTGGCCATTTCAGATCTCCTCTTTCCCTTTTGTAAATTCTTGCAGTGATCCAAGAGACAATTACGGTCTTCAGAACCAGTTGATCACTGAGCAGTGAGCCTTGTGTGACTGGATGCCACATGCATCTAGATGTTGATGAAGAGACTGGATGAATGGCAACAATTTTCGGATCCAGTTCACTTTCCAGGTGTTGGACGGCCAGTACGTCCGAGTCTCTTTTTTCTGAGCCGGATTGCACTGAAAAAAAAAAGCAAAGTGGTGCGGGCACCATTTTTTTTTTTTTTGGCTGGTGCTGCCAGCCACATTTCGTTCTAGTTGTCTATCTCCAATAGTAAGTTCCTATTGACCACGACCTACTGGAACAAGGCTATCCACACCACCGCTTTCACTCCTGTCTGTTTGCATTGCTCCATGTACAGATTGCCGCGAAATAATTCCCGGAGCATCTACACGTCTTCGCTCTACAGTGTAGGTAGATACTAGATAGGTAGGTACTTCACCTATTGATTTTCATTTCCAAGTGGGATAAGATTAACACAATTTGCCTAAAGAGTAGCAGAGGCGCACAAAGGCGGGGTCAAGCTAGCGCGAAGTGCCTAAAGAGTAACGGAGGGGCGCGAGGCTAGCGTGGAATGCGGCTTGCAAGCCGCCTCGGCCGGCCCCGTGCTGCGTGGCTCGCGAGAGCGCGCCGTAGGCTAAGCTGGCAGGAAAGTTGATGACATACTCCATACATACCATAGAGAAATTCAAGGAGTAGGCCGAGCCCCTGTACAAATTAAGGTCTTCAGGACCGGTTCGGCCCAGCCTCCCGAACCAGTTCACCCAGCCTTGTAACTGAATGACGCACGTGCATCTAGATACTGATAAACAGACCATGGGTTCAAACCCTTACGAAGACGATGCTTAGATCCAGGTCACATTCCAAGAGTACCGGATCAGGTTCCGGCTGTTCGGTTCACCGGCGAATGAAGAATCGGAACAATGCTCAGTAGCTGCCCAGAGACGAACCAGTACACACGTTTGACTGTTCATAAACCGGTCGTGCGTTCAAAAACTTAAATCCTCAAGGCTAAGATAATGCAAGGGGCTAAGTTGGCTGACCCCTCGACAACAACACAAAAAAAAAAGGAAAAAGAGGGAGCTGAGACCATGCTGAATACAGTACCTGCAAGAGCCCCTTTCCTGCCATGATTTCCACTTCATGGGTTTCCCTCCCTCACGAGGGCAGATGCCATGAGTTCAAATCCTGATGGATATAATAATGTGAGGGACTATGTCCCCTTTAGAAGTTAGAAAGAAATAACATTGAATGATTGAAATGATTGACTAGAATACCTGCAAGAGCTCCTCCTGATGGGCTATCCCCAGGTCCCCCTGAGATGATTCCCACTTCATGGGTTTCCCCCCTCCATTCTGGTCAATGACGACTTCATTCTTCATCAACTCCTGGCGCAAAATAAGCATCTTTCCCACCCGGTTCAGAAAGAGAGTGCAGGGGAGTAGTTTAATGACCTGCATACACATATACAGTTAATCAATGACCAAACAGTTCAGAGTAGATAGGAACAACCGGAGACATCAGCACAGACTTCACACGACATGGTCTTTTGTTACCATCAAAGCAGAGGCATCTGGTCTACTTCCTGTACCTGATTCGGATCCAGTTTAAGCTCGGTTCCTAACTACAGTTAGTGGTTTGAAGATAAACAGAGAGACCATACCTACCATCTTTGCCCAAACACAATGCATCCCCATTATGAGTGCACCGGACAGTAAAGACTTGGTATACATTCATAATCAGAGCTTGCATTATGTTCGGGGGAACACGGTGGACGATAGGACCGGGATTGTAACATGTCCATGGGATGTTTACATGCGCGACTCAGGACTGCAAGTTGCATTTCTCAACCACGGATCCGAGTTCGTTACCGTTGACAGAAGTGGATTGGTTACCACTTGCCCTTATGTTTGCTTCCGCGGGATCCATGAACTTCACCACAAACCGAATAGCTCGCGAGCCTTTTCCGCACTTTTCCAACATGCTGCGGTCCCCATCGAGTTGATCCCAATCGGGTGAGTTGGATGCTTTAAGCCACATTGCGCAATGGGAGTGACAGGTTCCATAGCAGATTGCTGCAGCATGTTAGGATTGGGGGGGGGAGGTTCCCGGGGGGAGCAGGGAAGCAGCGAGTGAACCGGCGGAAGTGGGGGGAGAGCTAAGGAGTGCATTTTCTAAAAACTGTTCTTGGTCTCATCAGCCTCTTTTTTTTTTTTTTTTTTTTTTTCACTTTTCCTTTYTTTACAAGGGCACTGCCCTTGATATATCACTGACCCCAAATAATTCAGAATTACTTTATTCTGTTCATCTGATTGAATCTGGATTCGAACTTGGGTCTGTACTCCCGACAGTTTGTGGGTGTACCAACCTCGCTACCGTCTTCACCGGAATATAACGCCCAGTGATTATCGCCGAATCTGGGCTGAAAGTTGTGCCAAATACAGCTATAATGACCGGGCGTTCTATTCGGGTGAAGATGGTAGGCCCGCTGGTGGCCTCACCTACCTCTTTGCAAAAGGGAAAAAAGTTCAGAAAACACAGTTTTTCGAAGTTTAGAGTCGTAAAAAGCCGAATTCTTTTTTAGGCATAAGAAAAAAAAAAAAAAGAGGAACAGCAATGAGATTGGTAAAAAAAAAAAGGGGGAAACTGTGGCTGTGGCACACTTTTAGTTTGAAATATGTTGAAAAAGGTACATGGTGATAAACGCATGTAGACAGCGAAAAACCACAAAGCAGTTCGCAAAAGCGAAACAGTTTGAGACAAATTGTGAGCGAAGATAGTCATCTCAACTCGAGAGCAGGAAAGAAAGATGGCTGAATAGATATATCACGCTCGCTCGATCTCAGTAATTCTTCCCCAAGAGAGTTAACGTGTGCCGTAGAAGACGTTGAAAAAGGTACATGGTGATAAATGCATGTAGTCAGCGAAAAATCACTAAGCGGTTCGCAAAAGCGAAACAGTTTGAGACAAATCATGAGCGAAGATAGTGATCTCAATTCGAGAGCAGGAAAGAAAGATGGTTGGATAGATATATCACGCTCACTTGATCTCAGTAATTCTTCCCCCAGAGAGTTAAAGTGTGCCGTAGGCAAGAAAAGACAAAGTGTCGCCCATGTCACGGTGTGAGTTTCGATATGTGCAAGTTTAGCTTGGGTCTAAATCTGCGCCTGTCATTACCAGCAGTGGCGCTTGGCAGATTTAGGGGTTCCGCCTTTTTTGCTCCATAATTTCGGCAACTGCTAAAGTTGCCTATGGGGGGCTCCAATGTACTTCCCCCGAAAAGTAAAAAGAAATTAAAAAAATGGCAGGGGTTCGCAGGATTAGATGAGAGCAATGCTCAATCCTTAATGCTCAATCCTTCCCGAAAGGAAGCAATCAATCTGCCTCGCTCCTTTACTTGCGAAGTAGGCAAAATGAGAATGAATCTTCCACAAGAACATGGAAAGATACACAAGCCATATTTTTTTGTCGGGAGCCAGGCCCAATGCCATGGGCTAAGTGCACGTAGTGGTTAGAAATAGCCTCGCTCCTTTACTCACAAAGTAGGCAAAATGAGAATGAATCTTCCGCTAGAACTTGGAAAGATACACTAGCCATATTTTTTGTCTTTTGTGCATGTGGTCAGTAGTGGAGCCAGGCCCAATTCCATGGGCTAAGTGCACGTAGTGGTTAGAAATAGCAGGGGGTTGGAAGGATCAACTGGTGAAAAGGAATCAAATTCAATCAATGGAATAATAACAAATTGTTCTAGGCAGGGGTGGAGCAGGGGGTAAATGCTCCATTTAAAAGGAGCAAATCATCAATGCCGCTGTCGCAAGGCCCTTCAACCATTAACGGAATGAAGCATCCTCTGAGTTAGCATTGTGGGTGCTACAGTCTTCCCCCGAATACAACCTACGGTCATTACAGCTGAATTTAGACTGAAAGATACACCAAATTCAGCTATAATGACCGTACGTTGTATTCGGGGGAAGACTGTAGACCCAGTTTCAAGCATGGACAATGAACTGTGTTCTCGAAAAAAAAAAAAAAAAAAGGGATTGGTAAGCGGCAGGAATACCAGACACATGTCAGGCCTTAACATGTGAAAACGGAGCCGTACCTTAGTTCGCTCGTTCCCTGCCGAAGACATATCAACAGTCGCTGAGAGCTGGACATAGTGACCCTTCGGATCCATAGCCTCAATTTTAATCGGGTCAGCCTGTGGGGGGAAAAAAGAAGGGGTTCCACCATTACACAGTGCAACAGAGAAGTAAAGTCAGCACAACATCAACAAGCAGAAAAAGAGAGTTCTATACTCCACAAAGAAATGAAGCGAACGAATTCGGCTACAACGGTGGTCAGATACACTCTGCAGATTCCTTGCGTAGTTATGCCATAATGCCAAGTCTTTTGGTACTGAATCTGGGTGCAACCATGGTCCAATACATTCTAAACAGCCCTAGTCTGGACATGCCCTAGTGCCAGTTGCTAACTCTAACTCACGATAGGGCAGCACAAAGTCCCACTTGTACTAGATTTGTGCCGAGCAAGGATGATCCTGGTCTCAGAGGCTCCCAGGTTCGTCATGAACATAGCGCCAGTGGGACTTGAACCTCATCGTCAGGACTTTCTGGGCAAGAATGATTCCAGAGAAAATTTACCCCCGCAACAACCCGGCGGACTGGCACACAAGTACCAAATAGATTCATGGTAAGTTGGCAATGATTCTCCCCCTCCCCCCCCCTTTCACATCCGGTCAAATCGGAAGATATGGAGAAGATTACCATGCTCCGTGCACAAGGATGACATGCATGGATCAAGAAACGGTCCGCACTAAACCGCCACTACCTTTCTCATTCATCGGCGATTCACGGTAAGTTGGCAACGATTCTCCCCCCCCCCCCCTCCTCTTTCACATCTGGTCAAATCGGGAGATATGGAGAAGATTACCATGCTCCGTGCGCAAGGATGGCATGCATGGATCGAGAAACCGTGCGCAAGGATGACATGCATGGATCGAAAAACGGTCCGCACTAAACCGCCACTACCTTTCTCATTCATCGGCGATTCACGGTAAGTTGGCAACGATTCTTCCCCCCCCCCCTCCTCTTTCACATCCGGTCAAATCGGAAGATATGGAGAAGATTACCTTGCTCCATGCGCAATGATGACATGCATGGATCGAGAAACGGTCCGCACTAAACCGCCACTACCTTTCTCATTCATCGGCGATTCATGGTAAGTTGGCAACGATTCTTCCCCCCCCCCCTCCTCTTTCACATCTGGTCAAATCGGAAGATATGGAGAAGATTACCATGCTCCGTGCGCAAGGATGGCATGCATGGATCGAGAAATCGTCGGCACTAAACCGCCACTACCTTTCTCATTCGTCGTCGGCGGGGTGGGTCCCACTCTTGTCAGAGGCTGGTAGCCGCCAATGAAAAATATCAGTGGCCACCTGGTGGTGATTTTTTTCGGATGAGGTCATTTTCCCAAATGGGACTACAGCCGCGAAAGGTAGCGGTTGTCTTTTTTAAAAAGGAAAAAACAAAACAAAACAAGACCTGGTCCGCATTAAAACAACAACAACAACAACAACAACAACAAAAGCAGCAGCTAAATGAGGCTGACTCTCAACCAATTTACCTGGCACAATAGACAACTCTGTTTGACGATACGGCTCACATATTTTTACTGGCTTTATGCCATGTCATGGAACATATCTTCTTTCCTTTCACTACCTACCACTACTCCTAAGACTATACAGGGGACCCCTGCAAGCATAGCTTTCTACCTCTCTTGGTGAAGGGAGGTAATGGGCATGTTTGCCCCTTTGCCCTGGCGTTTAGGGTGCAGGGTTGGGGCCGCCAGTGGGGGGCCGGTTAACACAAAGACAGCATTTTCCAGTAATTGTGCCTCCCTTTTCATCTTCTCCCACCCCCATCGTGTAACGTAGTGTCCAAAGCCAACTCTCTCCCACACACCACACACAACAGCTTCATTAAGAACTAACAATGTTTAGCAAGAAGGTCGCCAGAGTGTGTTGAGTTCAGGTGAAGAAGGTAGTAACTTGTTACCTTACCGTTCACTAACCGATGCACATTCATTACTGTGCATAAGCATGTGGGTAGAGTCTTGCCGTGGCTTGATTGAGGTCTGACCGTTGCCGCAAGGCACATGGGTCAAGTGGAAGTCTGGGTACACCGGGCCATGGATGTACTTCCATGCTGACGTGGGGTGAAATGCTCCACAAGGGTCCAGTGATCCACCTCTTTGGTGGTCGGTCATAGGTTCGATTCCTAGTCAGTTGATCTTGGGATTCTTGTTTATTCGCAAGCATGCATGTCTACTGGAAGTGGAATGTAACCCATGTTATACGACTACTATCTGGATGGTCCATCCGCTGCCCTATCTACAGATTGCCAATCTGGGAATTCAAATTGATGCCTAAATTCATCGACGTACATGTTTTGTTGTGGTTTTAGCTTTGCTTAGACTTAAGTGCATCTCGTAGATGAGGAAGCAGAGGTTACGCTAAGGAAGCAGAAAGATGAGGTAGGCAGGGGTGGGTCCTGTGAGCACCCGCCAAAAAAAAAGAAAGAAAAGAAAAAAGAACATAAAAAAGACTGGTCCGCAAGCATGCCTTGGAAGGCTAAGCTGGGCTTGGGAGCCGGGTCAGAAAGCTGCCCACACTCGTTCTTTTTTTTTTTAATACCAAAAACAGGGCCTTATGGCTCCGGCTCCATATCCATTCTGAGGAGCGTCAGCCCGGTTCCTATTCCACCTGCAAGTCAAAATACAAGATACAACGCACTCAATACGCTTCTCCCCTTTATGGTAGAGAAGCAATAATGACAGCACACAACTTCTCGTACGTTCTGTTTTGGAGGAAGATGGCAGTGTCATGCCCACGCTCATTCTACTTGCTTGTCATGCCCCAAATAAAGCTATAATGACCGTACGTTCTGTTTTGGAGGAAGATGGCAGTGTCAGAAGAGTAAGACAGCACACAACTTCTCGTATCTGACGAGGGAAAAAAACTTTCCACTTCCTGGTCTCACCGTCTCATCAAACTCTTTGAAAGGGATGGCTGAGTTGAAAGCCCCGCTTCGCGTCATTGCAACAGAAAGGCCGATGCGGTCCAGATTATGTATTGACAACATGATGGGCTCTCCATTGGGTGTGTCCTCCAGCTCCTCCAGTGTTCTCAAAGGCACGGCTGACCTCTCTCCTCCTTTACCGTCGACTCCCAACCGTTTTGCCTTCTTGGATGCCTTTTCTGCTTTGGCCAGCCACAAGCTGTCCGGACTCTTCAGCTCGCCGGCAGGTTCCACTTCCACAATGCGGTACGCTAGTGTCAGACCAGTTGCGTTTGTTAACCAGTATGGCACAGACAGTCTCACAATGATCGGAGACCGTTCCGTGTCGCCCCGGTCACGCTCTATGAGAACTCTCAGTTTCCTGTAAGGAAGGGGGTAAACACAGGAGAATGAAACAGTGTCACTTACACTTTCCCCGACCACAACGCACACCCTCATTTTGAACCGTATCAGACTGGAAAGATAACTTGTATACATTCGAACACAAAAAAACGAAACAGTGTCGCTTCACTTTCCCTGACTACAATGCACCCTCATTTTGACTCGCTTGTTCAAAAAACAATAGCATTTCGTGTATCGGACAGGAACAATAACTTGTATACATTCATGATCGGGTGTGTTGTGTTCAGGGGGGGGGACGGTAGAGAATGGTGACTATAAGGAAGCCATGGCCCATTAAGCCCAAAAAAACAGTCGACTGGGTTATACACACGCCTGCTGTGACACACACATGGATGAATGCCAGCGTAGGCAGCAGAGATGGGGAAAAAACAGGCAGCAAATGGTACCCATGCGCTGTTTCACAGCAGCAGGACTCGTTGTCCGCAAATCCCTCACAAACTGGTTTCATCATATCATAACTGCGTTATACACATGCCTGTTGTGATACTCACATGGATGAATGACAGCGTGGGCAACAGAAATGGAAAAAAAAAACAGGCGGCAAATGGTACGCATGAGCTGTTTCACAGCAGAAAGACTCGTGGTGAGCAAATTCCTCAGACTGGTTTCATGATACCTTCCACAGTAGTCTTTCAGCTTCCCAATTTCATTGATTTCACGCGCAGTGGGTTCTTGTTTGTTGAGTTCCGGATACAAGTGAACAAAAACCATAGTACTGGCAAGGTATCCTACATAAATACGAGGAGGGCGTATAGCCAATGGCCCAATACACATTGCCTGCTGTGACAGGCAAGCAGTACCTTTAATTACAGATGGTTTTAACTCTCTGGACTATAGAGCAAATAGAGTCATATACAAATTTTTACAAAATCAATTTAGGAGAACGGAAGTGACTATCAATAGAACTTACCCAATTTTTACAGTTAGGTTTAGGGTTTAGGGTTTAGAGTTTATGCATAAATACGAGGAGGATGTATAGCCAATACACATGCCTGCTGCAACAGGCACACATATGAATATCCAGATGCTTCTGCCGGACAGTGCATCAAAATCCAGCATGCCAGTGTACGCACACAGAGATGGGAAAAAGAGGCAGCAAATGGTACCCATGCAGATCCCTCAAACTGGTTCCTTGAACCGGCTTCATTACACCACGTGCAGTTGTTGTTTTTTGTTTTGTTTTCTGGATTACTTTTCTGTATTTTCTTTTTTTAGTATTAATTAATACCATACTTGCAACCGCACTGTGTGCCGTACCAGCGGCAGCTTCCTTTTTTTTGTTTGTTTTTTTTTGCTGTTTTTTTTTGTAGATACAGAAGAGTGCAACACCTAAGGAACGAATTTCTTTTGCTAATTTTTTTTTTTTTTTTTGAAACAGGTCCTTATGGCCCTGACTCCATATCCATTCTGGGAGAGTGTCAGTCCGGTTCCTATTCCGCCGACAACAGCGGCAAGTCAAAATTGAATACATCGTAGTCCACGCTCTCGCTTCGTTCCGTCTGGCCGAAGGAACCCTGACCAGTATTGATTACTCCTGTATGGGAGGATTGACTGTCAGCTTGCCCTACCCTAGTTTTCCTATCAGAACCCTGTTGGTTCTGTCGAATAGGCATTGAAGCACGAGAAACTGGGAGAGATGTCGGTCAGTCTGAGACTAAAACCTCAATTTGCCCTTCTCGGGACTGCATTCCTCGTTGTTGTGGGAGTGGACCACTTTTTCCAAATCAATTTGTTGTCTGTGATTGTCGCTATCTTTCCCTGTAGCAGCCAGTCTCTCATGAAGATTCGTCTCCTGAGTGCGAGTCTTTCAGGTTTGCTTCTCGCAGATGAGGAGACAATCCATTTGCATCGGATCTCTGTTTCCGCCATCCTCAGCAGAAGAATCCACGTTTCTTCCTTGGCCACTTCGGAACTCTCAATTGTCTTGGTGCATCTCCTTTTGCGAGACACAAGGCCTCAATAAGCCCTACTGGGCCCCTATTTGCAAGTGTCGGCCGCCCTAAGTGAAGGCAGGCTCGACAGACGACAAGAGGCCTTTTTTGGACTACTTCGCAACTGGGGGGAAATTCAGGCAGTTGCGCAGCGCCAGTTGGTTGAAAGCGCCCAGGCCCTGACCTCCTTTATCAAATGCATCTAAGTCAGGCCCTGGGCGAGATACTCAGCATGGACACAAATCAGGCTGCGGGCAGTTGGGCACAGGTAACTGTCACAGGCCTTGGGCCTGATCCGTTTGGTCTGGAGCTCAGCCTCTCTGGGCCTACCGGAAGCTTCTGGGCAGGGGCCCAGTGCAGCCAGGCTGCACGCAAGGCAGGCAGGCCACTTCCATTTAGAAAAGGGCCTGCACACACATTCGGCATTCGGGCACTGGCTGCATGCTGCTCAAGCGCTGCTGCGCCAACGCTGGCCAGCGCTCACGCGCTGACGAGCGAGCTGGAAGGAGCAGGCAGCCATAGCCGAGCTGCGCTGCTGTATGCTGGATGGGTCGCATGGTGGTCCTTGGGTGCATGTGGCATCTGTGAGTTGGGGAACGAGGTTGTGAGTGATATGAGAGACATACCTGGTGCTTGAAGSGTACGGCATTGGCCGAGATCTGCTCGTACCTCGGGGAGCTGTTGACGTCATCGGCGGCATTGTAGATTAGGCTAGATAGGATCTGCCATCTGTAGTCTGGGCGCCGAGCGCCAGATAGGATATCGACATTGGTTCCTCGTTGATGATAACGAGACTATTCCAGCATTGCCAATTATGAGCTTTTGCTGTGTTCTTATTTGGTGGAACTCGTGCTATTGGTTCGAGGTCACGACTTCTGGTCTCATGTGTATGATGCTGTTTGATTTCTGAAGATCCTTGCACTTTTCCACTTGACCCACAAAGCTAGTTTCCTGAGCATGTGAAACCAGACCGCTTTTCCTCCTCTGAGACTGTCGGGGATCTTTTTCAAGTACAGTCGTACATATTTTTCTTTCCGTCCAATTGGGCATGAGAAAATCCTCGAAAAGGTGGCTGGGACATCAGACTAGACCTTTAGGTAGCAGCATTATCCTTAACCCTAAATCTTTAAGGGGACGCAGGTGACCATTGACCCAGCCATGCAACCTCTTTTTTTTTTTTTTTTCCTGAGTGAATATTCCCCCCCGTGCGCCACACCATGTGCGTCCGCTCGTGCGCCAAACGTGCAGAACTTTCCCCATGACGCCCGCTTGCATGTATGATTATACCTTTTCCGGGTTTGCCCCTTTTTTTTCTCTTTTTCCTGGTTTCAAGTTTTAAAAGCAGTCAGGAGCAGGATGGCTAAACGGACGTTCACACGTTAGCTTGACAAGGGGCAACCTCCTAGAAAGAATAGAATTATTTGACAGATCTGGGTTCCAGGTCTGAGAGGAAGAGTGTTGCACGGCAAGCTGACAGTCAATCCTCCGCCAAGGTGGAGCAATCAATGCTGCTCAGGGGTCCTTCGGCCAGACGGAAGGAAGCGTGCGTGTTCCTTAATGTAATGCATGTTTTGACTTGCCGGTGGAATAGGAACCGGACTGACGCTCCCCAGAATAGAAGGAGCGAGGGCCATAAGGTCCTATTTTCTTAAAAAAAAAAAAAAAAAAAAAAAAGTTTTAAAAAGGCCCAAAAATGTTGAATGTATACAAGCCAGGATTCGGGTCTGGTAGGGTCACGTGAGGGTGTGTTATATTCGGGGGAATGACTGAAGTGCATTTAAAACTTGAGATCGTGACTGCGCCGTAGTTACCTACGGCGCAGTCACGATCTCAAGTTTTAAATGCACTTCAGTCTAAATAGATGGGATAAGGCAAGGCCGCAAATGGTACACATGCACTGCTCCAAAGCAGATCCTCATTGAAAGGACTGGTTGTCAGCAAATCACTCCTCAAATAGCCTGGAATAGGTATCACGCCCGGTTGAAATCTTTTCTGTTTTCGACTTTCCTAAATTTCCTTAAATGATAATTTCGTATTTTCACCCTTTTTCTTCCCATTCGTTTAGATGTCAGTGCAATCACAGGGATGGGGAAAAGGCAGGGCAACAAATGGCACCCATTTACTGTTTTACTGTGGAGTCTGACGGAAAGGCCTACCGTCTTCACCCAAATAAAATGCCCAGTAATGATCGCTGCATCTGGACTGAAAGTTGTGCCAAATGCAGCTATGATGACCCGGCGTTCCATTCGGTTGAAGATGGTAGTCAGCAGCAAATCCCTCGAGGGAAACTGGTTCCATGTTCCGTGGACATCTCTTTTTGTTTTTGTTTTTTTTTACATCTTTTATTCCAAAATCTCCTGAATTTTCCTGAAAGGCCACAGGCTGTCTTGAGGGCCCAAGTCTGCTCCTTGTCAAATGGAAGCTGATATGAAGACAGTTTGCAGAATCCCCTGAAGTTAGGGCCTTCTGGACCACTCACCAAATACGAATAATAGGAAGCGTATGGTTCCAATTTAATGGAAAGATGGCACTCGCCATTCACCACTCCTTTTTTGTGCATCCTCTGTCGAATTCGACATGACCTGGGCTTTGCAGCTTTTTTCGTGTGGCCTTTGGAGCCGTTTTTCGTGTGGCCTTTGGAGCCTTTTTTCATGTGGACTTTGGAGCCTTTTTTCGTGTGGCGTTTGGACTCTGGAGCCTTTGGTTACTCTCTCCCCCAATGGTGAGTTTTGAACATGAATAGAGATGTGGTGGAATGTGCAGAACCACATATTGGTCTGTCTCGACTACACTGTGGTCTGTATACTCTCGTGTGGTGTGCATGCAATCACTGTATGGTTGTCTTCGAAAGTTTTCTCGAGCACTCTGACCGGTGTCCTGGCATTTTTCAGTCCATGCATCCACCAACGTAGCAATTGCACTACGGCTATGTGACTGTGCACGTTACACGCTACCAACTTACTGACGCTTACCAATATTGATCCTTCCGTGCTCGGTCTCAAATTGGCCCGACTACAGTGTGGGGTGTATACTCTCGTGTGGTCTGCATGCAATAGCTGTATGGTTGTCTTCGAGAGTCTTTTCAAGCACTCTGACCGATGCACTGACATTTTTCAGTCCACGCATCAACCAACATAGCAATTGCACTACGGCTGTGTGACTGTGCACTTTCCATGCTACCAACAAGCTACAAACTTACCGACACCTACCAATATTGATTCTCCCGCGCTCGGTCTCAAACTGTCTCGACTACAGTGTGGGTGTGGCATAGCGTGTATACTCTAGTGCGGTGTGCATGCAATCACTGTGTAGTTGTGACTTGGAAAGTTCTTTCGAGCACTCTGACTGATGTCCTGACACATATTGGCTAGGGGAAACTTGAGAGTGTAGGACCTATCTACAAGCTTTGCCTAATTCTAATCAATTACATTATGTTTCTATGATGGCAAGGAACATCCTTATTCTTTTTTGGCTCTGGAAAAAAATATCAACACTCTGTCAAATCAGTTTTAGTGCTTTAGCCCCATTCCTGTCTATCTCTCTGTTTGTGTGCCATCCTTGGCCAGGGAACGGTGTCCGATATCAAAATGAAATTAGAGACGTGACGGAGGGATATTCCCTGTCTCAACATTGTTATTTTTTATAATCTTCCCCTCCTCTCCCCCCTTTTCTTTAATTCAAAAACTAGTAAACTACTCTATTTTCTTCTCTCAATTTTTTCCACCTCACAAGCCTGGCAGAACTCCACATCTATGCACCGAAGGGGAACATCTATGCACTAAAGGGGAAACTAACTATGTCTATCTGGTATCACTCTACTCTATGCAGGGAGCAGTACCGCTCCAACCCCTAGTGAGGGATGGCAGGATGCCTGACTCCTGCCAAGACCAGCCAAAAGGGCGGGGGCGGGGGGGGGGGKGCGGGGAAGCCAACTATCTCAGCTGATGGACCCATGTGGGTAGCCAACTATCTCAGCTGATGAACCGATGTGGGGAATCGATCTCACGATCTCCTGAAACGTGTCCTTGATTCTACACTGGGTCACAGTACTGACCACACTGGAGTGGGATGGAGTTTTTCATGATTTCATCCCAGCTCACTTTGACTAATAATGGTCATGTGTTCTGCTTTAGTTGTAGCAGGTTGCAGGTTTGATTCCTGGAGTGCATAATTTCAGTGATGTGGACCTTGTGCGAGGCCCCTAGGCCACACAGCAAGCTGTATAAAAAAGTCCATGTGGAAGAGCACCAGAACGCTCAGCAGTGTAGACCCAGTAAAACACTGCTGGAGTGCCGGTATGCGGCTGCCGAATCAGGAAACATCCAGTAGCCAAAGGAAGACTTCGCCACCATATATCGTGCGCATGATGCAAAAGAAATGACAAAATAAAGAAGACAAACATGAAGAGCACACTAAAACTGTTCTTTTGACAATTTCTTCTTTTAGCTCCCCCTTTACTGTGCCTCTCACGTACAAGGCTAGCCGCATTGAGGAAGTTGAGTGTGATCTGCCTGCATCGACTGTGCCGCAATGTCCCACTTGTATCCTGCGAAAAAGAAGCAGAGTAAAGAGGAAGTGGATAAACAGAGATAAAAGATGGAAAGAAGACAAAGGTAAATCAAGGGAAAGTCAGGAGCGTGGAATGAAACCCACAGCTCCCAGTGGTCAGATGCATGTACAACGGCGATTTAATGGCCACGTTCATGTAGAATGCAGGCAAAGATGTGGCATCGCCGATGAAACCACTCACCTGCCCGAACATTGCATTGTTCAATTTGGTGGTCCCTCGTTGCTACTTGTAGGACCACAGTTATAAAGCCTACTGGAGGGTGTAAAGCGGGCAGTGGAGAATGTGCCGACATATATTAGTTGCAGCCAGACCACAGAGATTAGGGAGTGTCTCGGGCTGGACTGCTGGACGCTTGCCAATGATTGGCGGATCACCCAGATGGTGTTGCAAGCCCAAACCATCCTGTGCTGTTTGCAAGGTCAGTTATTTGCAGATGACCGATGCGGTCAAATGCCTCGTGGTAAAAATTTGTGGTTCAGCCAAACGATTCTGGTCAGCTATTTGAAGATCATCCCTGCTGTCTACACCGTGTAGGGTTGTTATAGCCCGTTTTCTCCTACCCCATTTTGAGTTCCGTTGCGCTCGCAGATACTCGGTCAACAGCACGCACGGGGGGTGTAAAGCAGACAGTGGAGAATGTGCTGACATATAGTAGTTGCAGCCAGACCATAGAGATTACGGAGTGTCTCAGGCTGTAGTGCTGGACGCTCGCCAATGATTCGCGGACCACTCAGATGGTGTTGCAAGCCCAAAACATCCTGGGCTGTTTGCAAGGTCAGTTATTTGCAGATGACCGAAACGATTCCGGTCAGCTATTTGAAGATCATCCATGCTGTCTACGCCGTGTAGGGTTGTTATTTTCTGGTGTGATATTGCCCTTCTCAATTCTACTCGGTGAGTTCATGTTGGTCATCAATTGATTTCGCACGGGTTCCTTGCAGTTTGGAAAGTGAATTTTGTGTTCATATACATCGTCAAACAGAGCTGCCCGGTAAGCCGTAGGCAGAGAGGGAGAAGAGTACAACAAACAAGGGGCTGTAACAAACTGTTCTGTCGGAGTTTCACCGACTCATCAGGAGGCCGAGCCCATATTATATATCGTCAAACAGATATTATATATCGTCAAACAGATATTATATACCGTCAAACAGATATTATATATCGTCAAACAGAGCTGCATTTATATGGTCAAACTGAGATGCCTGATAAACCGTAGGCAGAGAGGTAGAAGAGGACAACAAACAAGCAGCTGTGACAGACTGTTTCTGTGGAGTTTCAGCGACTCATCAGGGTGCAGAATCCTATACGAATATTATACATTTCTGGCCCATAGAACCCCGAAAAACAGTCAAAACTTTGCACCTGGAGCTGTACTGATTCAGCAGCATAAAGCTTGGAGGAAGACCTGACACCATCAGGAGGCTGAGCCCATATTATATATCGTCGAACAAATATTATATACCGTCAAACAGAGCTGCATTCATATGGTCAAACTGAGATGCCTGGCAAGCCGTAGGCAGAGAGGTAAAAGAGGACAACAAAAAAGCAGCTGTGACAGACTGTTTCTGTGGAGTTTCAGCGACTCATCAGGGTGCAGAATCCTATACAAATATTATACATATACAGTTGTCTTCTCCCCCATAGAACCCCAAAAAACAGTCGAGAATTCACACCTGGAGCTGTACTGATTCAGCAGCATAAAGCTTGGTGGAAGACCTGACACCAGGTCAAAAATGAGCACGGCTTCCTGCAAAACACAGAAGTCAGAATGCTGCACATCAGCAGACAACTCACAACAAGAAAGCTCTGTCTTACCAAAAAGATTGTATCAGTCCATATCATACTTGCGGCGCACCGGCACTGTGCGCTGTGCGCGGACCCAGGGTGCGCGCCGCGCATCTGGGTGCACAGTGCGCTGCGCATGTCTGGTGTGCTGCGCGCATGTGTGCAATGTATATTTCCGTGTTCTAGCGGTAGATTCATTTGATTTTATTCTCTCTCTCTCCCCTCCCGACTACTTCCGCTGCTTCCCACCATCCCACCTTCGGCCTTTCTCCCACCTTCCGCCATCCACCATCGCTTTCTCTCTCTCTCTCTCTCTCTCTCTCTCCCCTCCCGACTTCTTCCGCCGCTTCCCACCGTCCCACCTTCGGCCTTTCTCCCGCCTTCCGCCATCCACCATCGCTACTCCTCTCTCCCTCTTCCC